TACCCCTTTATCCCGTACCCTAATTTCTCCTCCCGCACCCCGCCTCACCTCCAGCGCTCTCCTACCTACCCCAAGGAAGTGGGCGTGCACGCCCTGAGTAACGTGAGGATATCCATTTTCCTGACAATGGGACCTTAGCCCTGGCCTTTTTGGGCCTCTTCAGAGAAATAGGTCAGGGCCTTGTACAAGAGGATCCATGGGAATCCCCGGACACCCTCGGTCCCTCCTTCGAACCTCCCTCAACTTCGTATTCTCGGCGTCCCAAAGTGACAATGCGCTCACGACGGCGGTCGCGATCGTCACGAAATCGGATCGGCAATTCATAAGTTTACTGACCCAATTTCACGGGCCCAACCTGCGTCCCGGATTCCGGAGGTCCCCCAGCACGAGATCAAACAGTCCCGGTATCTCGAAGCTAAACACGATAAAACTTTAACGTCCCTACGAAGCAGTACAAGTACACAGCGATCCTACCGCTCGACACTCGGGATCCTATGCTCTGGAGGCGCATTGCTTTTGCTGATACACGCGTTTATCGTACCTAAACAAACGCAATGACAGTTCACGCACGATCGTTTATGCACGCATGGCACGCGTTTTACATATGCGCAATTGGAATATTCGTGTGTAATAACACGTCTGTCCCGACGAGCATACTTATACAGTCACGCGCTCTTACCGTACACGCATGGTTACGTATGTCCCACGTCCCACGTATGTACTATACTGTATGGGTGCACGTGTTTTTACATTCATATATATATATATATATATATATATATATATATACAGGGGCCTCTAAACGTCGTTCACTCTCGATTTCAACGGGGCAAGTGGGTCATGCACATATAGGATGCGCCACGTCGTCGTCGTCCCCCCTACCCCCCTCCTTCTGCACCTCCCCACCCACCGTACCGTACTCGCCGCGACTTCCGGTATCGAAATTTCCGGCTTTTGAAATCGAAAGTTAAAGCCACGTCGGGACTGGCGACTCTTGGCTCTCTTAACCAAGAGTCCCGGCGACAGCACGGTTAGAGGTTAAGATTGCCACGAATATTTTTCGCAACTTCACGTCACGTTAAGACAGCCGGTCGCGATTGGTCGTTGATTTTCTTTTTTACATTTGGAAATCACGTATCTCTTCTGGTGGGTATCTCGGGAGTCTGTTTCTTTAGCGATAACTTTTCTTTATTTTTTTTTTTTTTTTTTTTTTTTTTTTTTTTTTTTTTTTTTGTATATGCCTTTTCAGTACCCGGGCACTTCGCGCTTACGTACGCGCGGTACGAGGCGATAACGATCGATACGATTAAACGCGATTAGCGTGAATGTAAAAAAAGAATGGTTAGGTTAAGACTGCGCTCACAATTTTATACCTCGCGGCTGTTAAAAGTGTTTTTGGATTTTACGATGAAATTCATCTGGTGCGCGGCGAGAGGAGGAAATATCGGGACGGCTGAAAATACTCGGTTAACGTTGTTTTTAGGTTAGGTCTGTGATTGGTTTTCGGCGGTAATTTCAGAAGAAAATTTGGTTCCGTTAGCGATACTGAAATTTGATTTTTACGACGGAAGCATTTTTTTATTTTTTTTTCGTGAATTATCTAAAAAAATTTTGATCGTCAGTTAAATTGAATTTTCGTAATTATTTTAACGATCGGCTCCGAGATTCTTTATTGGAAATTTTATGAATTTCCATATTTTCCCGCTATTTCCCGGCTTGTGTCCTCGTAATACGTATTTACGTACGTGAGATAACGCGTACTGTTTGCCGTACGTAAGTTTTGCGCTGGCGGCTGCTGTCTCGCGAGGATCACGAGAAACTCAGAGATACCGGGAGTGCACGAGGCGATACGAGATCTCACGAAATGGAACACGGAGCGAGACAAGGGCGGAGTTAACGAGAGACGTGCGAGAGAGACGGAGACGGTGCTACCTGCCCGATCAGCGGGAGAGAGACGGACATTTCATTTCTGGGCCAGCAGCGATACGTGCGCGCGGCTGTGTGTATCCACCTACCTGAAAGTAAGATACGCCGTGTCGCGGGGACGTATGATGTCACATAGAAGGAGAGAGTCGTTACCGTTATGCAATATCGGCAGGCGGCGCTTTGGCTTATGGCGAGCTGAGAAAGTTGCGTGGCCAAACGCTGACCTTACGTACTTGCACACTTGAGATTGGGGAGTGACGTTCGAGTTAATTGATAGGGCAGATGCGTTTGTATGTATATATATATTTTTTATTTTTTAATTTTTTCCCCGTCTTTGCTCCTTATCTCTTCTTTTCGATTATATACTCGTATATGTATATATATATATTTTTTACTTTACTCTCTCGCACGATCACGGCAGCCATTCGTGTCTCGGATTTTCACTATCGTAACGCCAACTCGTCACGCCGGCTAACCTAGAAAACCGTAAAGGTCCTTTAACAGGCCTTTTCCACCTTTTCCAAGATTCTCTCCTCGCAGCCGGCTGCGCGCTCGGGCTTTCACTCTCGCAACGCCCATCGACGCGGTTAACCTAGAAAATTGGAAAAAGAACCGGATACGGGGAAAGACGTTGTTGACTGGTGGGAGGGGAAGGGATGGGGGTGAATTTTGGATCTTTTTTTTTTTTATTTTTACTCTCCCCTCTCGTATCCGTATAAATATAGATATTCACCCCGAGACTGTGACGTCAACCAGGTCGCCGTCATCGTCGCACAACCCCCCCCCC